TCCTTCATCTGCAAATGCAAATATAAGATAATGAAAATAAGTGTAAGTTAAGCTAATCATTGTATTAAGGACGTTTTTCGCTAAACATCATTATGATAATTTTCACACAGTGCAATCTCCTTTTATTCTTATTTTCTAAGACAAAAATCATGACAGAGTGTATAAAGCATCAATATCATTGAATAATGAATACGTGTCAGTACGCTTGTGATGTTTTTATATATAAGTAGTTAAACAATTTGAGAAGTTTTGGTTGAAAGAAAGTATTTCTGGAATTTCCATATGAAATGAAAAAAAATATCGAAATGTAAATCAAACTGTATGAATAGAGTAGTAGCAATTTCATGAACAAAAAAAGTTTTCAATGAGAGAAATAGCATTCGTATAATGGTGTAATCCCTCTGAATTTTTATTTGAAACCGTAAGGCTTTAGACAATAACTATAAATATAGGGTTGCAGAAAATATTTGTTTTAATACATTGTCAAGGGAAAGGTCAGAGGGATAACAAACTATTGCAGACAAAGTTAAATCATTAAAGTGAATATTCGATGATTTGTTTTCAAATCAAACGTTTAGTTTTTAAAGTATTTAATACATTCTGCATAATTTCATATTGAATTTTAAATGATTCATTATTCGCCTGTAAAATCAATAAGACAAGATAAAATAATTATCATGCATTGAGTGCTGTTAATTTAATGACGCTCAATTGAGTATTATATTGCACAAACAATGTTCTTTTATACAAATTAAACAAACAACTGATACGATAAGTTGTCAATATATAGATCAACCGAAATAAACGGCATAATAGTTTGGGTAAGTGAAGACCTTATGAAGAAAACAGAACAATCAAAGCATTATTCTTGTGGCGAAGTGAAGAAAGGGCATTTTGTAGGTCAAGTATGAATCCCCTTAACATGTCTTGCACGAGGTTTTTTATCAACAGGGAGAGCAGTATCACTCTTTTTACCGATGATCGCATATAGTGACTCCATTCCTCATTGATATGGTAACATCATTAACACATCTCAAACAAAATACTGAACATTCATCCCTTGTTCGAAGGGAGACGTATGGGATGTCTACCAATTATGTATAGTGCGGTACTTATAAAAGTTAACCTCACAATTTGAAATTGATTCACAACCGAACAGATATTAATTAACGAATTGACCTGCACATAATCACCAATAACCAAAGATAACATTTAGGAAAAGGAATAAAAAGATACTGATGCCATCTGTAATGATATACGATCCAAGTACGCTGAAAGTAGAAAGACATGTATAATTCAACATAAGGTTCAAAAGACTCAGAAAAAACAACATTGATTATATTTAGAGTTTTAAGTAGCAGTGATTAATTAGTTAATGCAGATAAACCGGTTTTATTGTGAGTGATAATTACACCAAATGAGTTCCAATGCAAGCACATGAATATTTACCTTCACACTGACGACCGAAAAACCCTGATAAACATCTGCAAATGTAACTGTTTCCTTCAACTCTACATGCTCCTTCATTTAGACAAGGATTACTGTCACAAGCACTTACTGAAATTTAAAGAGAACACTAACGAAGCAGTTTTATTTCTCATTGTAAACTTTACATATAGTTTAGTAAGTAAATAAATTGGTCTAACTCAAATATGATTACTATCGTTGGATACTATGACTGTAAATCGAGCTGATTTTATCCCTTTTGATTTTAACTTCAAAATTCAGCTTTGAAGTGAAAAGTAAAGATACGTCAGCTGAGGGACTGGTTAACGCATTGCAAGAAATATAACATGTATAGAACCTAAATGTACGCGTTGAGATATGATGTCGCTTTGCCTGAATATCACTTTTTCGTGAAAACTTCAGATTATTTCATATTTATCATTAAGTTTTTGATTTCGAGACTTAGGTCGAATTAGGTAAATTAAAAAACGGAAAGTCAATAAAATCTGACAAAACCATATAATCAACTATATCAATAAACGGAACGAACTGTAACCAACTGTCATACTCCTGACTTTGTACATTAGTTTTCCAAAGAACATGGTGAATTAAACCTGGTTTAATAGCTAACTAAACCTCTACTTGTATGACAGTTGTTTATCAACCGACTGTCAAGGAAATCAAGATGCCAAACGTTAGTCCTTAAACATGTACTAATTTTTTTATCCATTTGAAGGTAAAGTTGAAATTTTGAAACATTTGCAAGACATTCTATGAACTACGGCAAATGTTCTTAAAGTTGTTTATGCCCTCCAAACTGAGGACTCAGACATTAAATGGTTTTTATTTCTGTATTGAATAGTTATTGTTTAAATGTTTTGATTTATTTATATAATATTGAGGACTTGGATTTAATGGCTTATAAATCCCTTTGTTTGGCGTGAATTCAGGTTCGTCTTTAAAAAAAAAATGCATAGTGTATCTTGTTTCTCTTATTTGTACATTAATATTGGAATATTTTGTAATTACTAATTGATGTCGACGGCATTGCTAGAGGACTGTTTTTCTCCGAGGGTATCACCAACCCAGTGTTCAGCACTTCTGGGGAGACATGGAAATTCATAGAATGTTAACAGGCCATGGATTTTCTATACCCAGGCAGAGATGACCATGATACCTGAACCATATTTGACTCAACTTTTGTTTTATGTTTTTTAATTTGAAATATTCTCTGCGATCTTCATTTGTTCTTTCAACTATTTTGATTTAAGGATGTTCGCTCTGTTTCAAAATAACAAGCTTTTTAAAAGACTGTTATAAATTGGTAGTATCTAAATAAAGGAGATAAAAAAGCAGAAAAAAATTAAGGGTCCATGTGCTTGTTTTCGAGATATAAGCCATTGAAAATTTGGCGGGAAATAATTCTCTCTAGACTTTTCATACATTTAACATTGGCACCCTTTTTCTTCAAAAAATTATGAAAAATAACAAGGATTTTATAGCATTTTCAAATATGGCTTTTTTAACTATATGTAATAAAATTATAAAAAGAAAAGTAGGAGTTAGCGGGGAAATTTTTTTAATCGGACTACATGGATAAAACCTGAGGATTCCAAATATTTTGCAAAAATTCTAAAACAAAAGGAGCGAACCTCGTTAAACTGATGAGTCTCACGTTGTAAATTATAAGTTTTGTATATATCTTTTTTTATTATAAGTATTCAACCAATGGATCGATGAAGACGCGGGTAGTAGTTTAGTCTCCAAAAGTATCACTTGTCCAATAGTCGGTACCTTCTGTGTTGACATTAAATAGCGTTATTTACTGTTTATATAATTTAGAATTATTCAAACACTAAGGTTTTTCTTCTCCATGTAAAATTTACCTTTAGTCATATTTTACACAACTTTTTGAATTGTTTGTTATTTTCAATATGCTTTCAACATCGTACATGATTTGGTCATTCAACTCTTCTGGTTCAAGCGCTAACAATGTGTCTTATGTAAACGTCTGGCTTACTTAGTTATCAGCTTTGTATCCTTGATGAGTTTTTAAATATAACTACTTCATTTTGTAATATGTTGGGTTTATTAATTGACAGTTAATAGAATGTTGCACAACGATGTTTTATTGAAGTTTAAAGTCTTATGTGAAATACCGCTAGAGGACTCATATTCCGTCGTAAAGACAAAATTTTTACTAGTAAGTGAAAAAGTGTAGTGTTGTCAATTATTATCAGAGATTACAACTGTTCTCTCAAAACTCGAGTATATACTTATCCTTAAATGTTTCCGTTTTGAAATAAATATGAATAATATAAGCTGATTTTGACACCTATTCAGTTTATTCTTTTAAAATACTTCTGATAAATAGATTGACCTAAATAGATAGGTGTTGAAAGTACTGAATTTAGCCAACAGTAGTATACCGACTTTCAAATCTCATAATTCAACTAAGATACAAATCAATGTAAAAAACAAAAACTGAGGTCATCGCATGGACCCCAAATGTATCGCGACGGTAGGGGTGTCGACGGAATACCGTCTCCAGCTGTGCATGAATCACCAGCCGTGCGAATCCATACTTATTCAAAATGTCACAGTAGGATACAAACAGAAATGTTACTATTAAACTTACTTATAATATTTCATCATCTGTAAATGTTTAACAAACTAACTAACAACTAAACTAACTCATGATTTGGCAGGCCGTGTTAGAAAATTGTCTTCAAACGTGACCACGGATATTTTTATGTTGTCGCCACAATCCCGTCTTTTTCATCTCATTTAGGACTACAGTTAATGAGACTTATCACCGAATATTACCCTACAAGGAGATCCACTGTGGGTACCACTAGTATAGCAGAAACTACTCACATTAGACTGAGCACCTGATCTCACTGTTTAATTCGTGTGGTTCTATCTGTATGTTATAGTTTAGTCTACTGTTGTTTGTATGTTCATATTTGTTTTAATAGCTTTCTTGGTACCTTCTCAACTGTGTTACTAGTTTGTTGACGCTTTTCAATACAAACTTATTCAATACGTCTTTCCATTGAATTTGGAAACTTTCAAACTTCATTTACAGTACATATGTAACTATAGTAGATGCAATTCAGACAAATATTTTACATCTAAAATACCTCTGTTTCAACTTTTTTTTGATAGGTTTAGTATTAAAAAGTAGATTATCACATAAATAATTTTGTGATGGTCATATAAAATCTTATCTATATTGACAGGCTAACCAAATGCATATCTCCAAATTGTTTCTATGCTAAATCTGCATTTATATACCTTTCAAACACATACCTAGTTAATTAACTAGCAATATAAATAAGGAAGATTAGGCAGCACCACAGCAGCACTAGACATATAGAGGGCACCAAACAGCTTTCAACAAGAGACAGCTGAATATACAACATATTAAGCTTGAAATTGTCATTTATATCTCGATAAAGCGTATTACTATTTCTGTATGTGATCGACCTTGATTTAAGTTGCAAAATAATTTGAAGGTAATGCGAGCGAGATATTATCTTCCTTGTACTTACTTTGACACTGGCCACCGGAAAACCCTCTCAGGCATGTACAGCTGTATGTGTTTCCGGTAATGTCACATGTTCCACCATTCAAGCATGGACTACTATCACAAGGGCCAACTGTAATTGAAATAATGTGTTTGCCAGTTTAAAACGTGAGAATGAAAGAATATAAAATGCATTTCCTTTACAAAATGGAGAGAAGATACAAAGGGGCAATCTCCGGCGCAGAGTTCATATCCGTTCCGTACATGCTCCGCAATACTACACTTAATATGAGTGTAGTGTTACGAAGTATTGAACGGAACGGATATGATCTCTGCGCCGGAGATTGACAAAGGGGCCAAGGAAACAATCATTCATCGACAAAAAAAAACAGACAAAACAGTAGCTAAAAAGGAAAACGTCTGACGAAAATTGTTCATAAAACGCTACACATAAAACTACATATCAAACAACACGAACCCACTGAAAACAGGGTTCGATCTCAGGTGCGTTTAATGGATAATTACCTGTAGCTTTCATCAGCATACTGTTGCAAGAGACAAACATACAATTGGTTGACTCTTTATAAAAAATTAAAGGAATGATGTTGCCAAGTAGTTTAGAGAACTTTCAAATTGAATGCAAGACATGTGAAATACATCTGGGTATGAGTGGGGTTAAAATACATTTTAAGTACCAAAATCACTTTAGTACACTTTGTTTCTTGAACATTAACAAGAGGGCGTTTTAAAAGCATGTAGAATTATCAAAAGCTATATATATAACACGTGACTTATCAATATTAATAGAACAGACGAAACCAAAAATAAACAGGTCCAAGCAATACAACACGAATATTATCAAATCAAGGAATATTCGCCGTCCCTGAAAGAAAGGTCAAAGTACAAAATATTGATATAAATGGTTCATGCCTTCAGTCGTTGCAAATAACGTGTTCGATGGTCTTATTCAAGTAATGAAGGTGGTTGGAGTTTAAGTAAGAAGAACTTTATTTATTTCAGCAGGATCTTTATGTACATGTTTTCTTCAACTAAAATCAATTTTTAAGAAATAGGAAGGTCATGCAATACATCGAAACAGTGTTCACTCTATTCCTACATAACAAATAATAAATTACTAACGTTGGGGATCAGAACTTTAATACAAAATCTAAGACCCCTCTCCCCCCGTTTCCCCCAATACACACATATTTTCTCTTATCTCACTTAAAAGAAATTAGCCTTACTTTCCATAGAATACAACCGCATGAAGTAATATAATTATGGAACGGATATCGATATAATACATACCACCACACTGGTCACCGGAAAAACCTGGATCACAGGTACATTTGTATCTAGCCCCCTTTACTTGACATAGTCCACCATTTCTGCATGGGTTGCTGTCGCATACACTCACTGCAAGCACAAAGTTTGTTAGCCTTTAATAAATTTGTTTTATGTCAGTCGAACTATCCAATCCCTTTAGGGACAATTAATATAGTCTTAGATGAAGTAATTGATTATTGATTCCTTAACGTGTGCTGGCAAATATGTCACTTTTATTGTTGTTTGGTTTTGTCCGGGTTGAGCTTCTCTTCTGGCAGTTGAACACTATTACCTTTAGTGCACATTTATATAAGACCTCGAAGTTTCATTCAAATCCGATTTCTGGACAAATAGTAGTTTTCAATAATTTCTACACACTGCCAAATGAGCATTCAAATTACTACAGGTATAGTTTTACTCCCTTATACACCTTGCATAGGTTAAGGTTTGTGTCAATAAGTTGTCGAAGTTGAGGGACACATTACGTGCGCATATTCTTTCGAGACTATCTCACATTAATATACACGAACAAATGATGCTAAACGAATCTTCTTTTGAAATGTTAATTAAGTATATGCATTTTTTATAATTACAACATGAACAAAAATGTATAACAAAAATACCGAACTCCAAGGAAAATTAAAAAAAGGGGGGAAGTCCCTAAAAAATGACAAAATCAAATTACAAGGCAGCAATTGTTTACTGAACGAAAAGGATGAATCGGAATTTCAGGTCCTCAATGCTCTACAACTTCGCACTATATTTGGCCTTTTAAACTTGTTGATTCGAGTATCACTGATTAGTCTTTTGTAGACGAAATGCGGGTCTGGCGTACAAATGTGTTTGCATGTTATCTATGATTAGTTTATAATCATAAATTGTTTAATACGCATGGGACCACTAATTGATATCATATTATCATGATATGGCAATGGTCATAAACATTGGTGTATCAATCATGGCAACCTATGGCAAGCCGCTCTCGTCAAAACTATGTTTAAACCATTTTTTCGAAAAAATTACACACTGAGAATATAAAAAATCAGACTGAGATTTAAGAACCTTAAAAACACACTGAGAAATTGAAATTACACACTGAGAAATCGAAATTACACACTGAGATTTTAATATTACACACTGAGATTTAAAAATATGAAAAACACACACTGAGAATTTAAAATTACACACTGAGATTTTAAAAAGACACACTGAGATGAAATAAATTGAAAAACACACACTGAGAATTGTTAATTACACAATGAGATTTCAAAAATACACACTGAGATTAATATGCAAATTACTAATGAATATTCATGAGATGAATAATTCAACAGATTAATATCTTGGTCTCCATAACTCTTGTCATTATAATGAAATGCGGTTCCTACAACCAACATTCGTAATAAATTTCAAGCCTTAACAAAGTTTTTTGCTAACTCGTATTCATAAGTTTTTTTGCCTATAATTCAGATTATTACTAACAGTATATCGGGATTTTTGCTTAAAACTGTTTAAGCATGGTCCTTTTTCAAAAGTTTTTCAACTGTTACCCTGATTTCGCAAGGTATTTTTTTATATTTTTGTTACGTATATATGCTATAATAGGCACTTGGGAAAAAAATCACTGCATTGTTTGTATTTTTGCAGATTGTTCCAATGTTTTCTTATAATTTTAATAAAGTTTTTCACCATTTGGTTATATTTTGTAATGAGAGTAAGTGGGTATTTTTCTTGTTCTATTGGTCTTTAATAACGTAGTTTTTCTATACGTTGTACTTTTAATGTTTTTATAAAACATTTAGCGCCAAATTTAAGGATTAAAGAGTTCTGTCCCCTAGTTGTTTTAAGCTTGTAATAGATTCAGATTAATTATGCTTATTAGATATGTGCGCATAAAAAGTGCGCACAAATCTCAGTGTGTAATTTTAAATTCTCAGTATGTAATTTCAAATTCTCAGTGTGTGTTTTTCAGTTTATTTCATCTCAGTGAGTCTTTTGGAAATCTCATTGTGTAATTTTCAATTCTCAGTTTGTGTTTTTCAATTTTTGTAATCTCAGAGCGTTTTTATGAAATCTCAGTGTGTAAATTTTAATTCTCAGTGTGTGTTTTAGGTTTATTAATCTCAATGTGTTTTTTTAAATTCTCAGTGTGTAAATTTTTCGAAAAATGGTTTAAACATAGTTTTGACGAGAACGGCTTGCCATAGCAACCCGTCATTATGTTTGGTGTAATCTAAGCGGCTTTGTTTGTGTACAATGATGAAAACAAATGATTCAGAGAAGGCAAATGTAAGTTACTAGTAAAAATTCTTCTTCTTGTACCTTAAGTGGAACTCACATTCATTCAAATATACAGCAAAATCAGCAAGAATGAAAATGCTCAAAACTATATGGCTATTTAGTCAATCGAAATCATTGTAAGACTAGTTGAACCTGTCATGAGTACCACGACATGCGATTGATGGAACCGGACCTGCTTGCATTTCCGAAGAAAACAGGTTAATTCCATGTTATATAGTGATACACGTTGCTCGTGTTGTCTCTAATTGTATGGTATTGTTTTGTTATTGTTTTTTCTCTCTCTCTTTTTTATTCTGTTGGCCAATGTATTTTCTGTCCTTCTCCTCGGGTGGTTCTCTTCCTTGCTATATAGGGTATCTAACAGGACAGGACGCATCTACTTCTTCGACAAATGAATATTTAATCATTCTCTAAAAATTGATTCACTATGTTTGAAATCCAAGTCTAAATGGCTGAAAGAAGAAGTTTTTTAAAGTAAAAAATCCTCTGTTTAAAATTTATTTTAAAATTGTAAACAGAGGAGTGGATTCAATCAAAGTTCATTCATAAACAATAACACTGTTCCAATACTCAAGTATTAAGAACAGTTATATTCACCTTCACATCTGTAACCTGAGAAACCAGGGCGGCATGTACAGGTGAAATTGTCGCCAATCGCTTTACACAGACCGCCATTAAAACATGGCTGGTTGTCGCATGGAGTACCTGCAAACAAAACAATAACTTTAGTTATAAATAAATTAATTGATAATAATCTCGCAAAATTACAGACCCAATAATTTGTTTGAATCATAATGAATTCTGCAAACATGGAATATTTGTGCGCCAGTATGCATTAAAATTTAAATAATAAAAAGTAGCAGGATCACTTATGTTGCATACTATTTCACATCTGAATTTCCGCCAGTATTGTTTTTTTTTCAGATATCAAGAAACCTGATCACAAATATTGGAATAGTATGAACTCATTTATTATGCCATAACTAAACAAATTATGCGTGATACTTTGAAACGGATGAATTGCACTGCTATAATTTTCAATCCAGATTCCGTTTGTGTATATATATATAATTCCTGAATCGTAAACTCGAAAATACGTAAACATATATATATATATGATATGTGATCATGAGTGTTCATACCTGTACATGCTGTATAGCATTACAAATTAAGTTATGATTTAATGTACATATTCAAATCTAAATCAATTTTAGTACCGAAAAAGACAATATTAACATAGGGATCATAAATTGATACCCTTTCAGAAAATAAGTCTATGTAAGTTTATCTTGCAAGCTTGATTATTGTTAACATCAAGTGAAAATTTTTCATGCAAATTTATGACAAAGAGAATACACGTACACTGCAGAGAAGAAAGCAATACACAAAAATATAACGAATGTAAAGTAATAAAGAGTTAAATCAGAATTATTCCGAAAACAGATCTTATACCTGGCGTACAAAATTTTAATCCTCGTATCTATGATGAGTTAAGTTACACTGGTCGATGTCACTACTGGTGGAGGTTTCATCCACGATGGTATCACTAGGTTAGTAGTAAACACTTCTGTGTTGACATGAATTATCATTGATATGGTAATAATTATAAGGTAACTGTTTACAAAACTTAGATTTTTTTCGAAATACTAACAATTTTCTATCCCCAGTAACATATTACCTTAGCTGTATTTGGCAAAAGCCTTTCTGATTTTTGGGTCCTTGATGCTTTTCTCCTTCCTACTTTATTCATCCTCATAACCTTTTTGTTTCTAGTGCCACTATGAGTCTTTTGTAGACGACAAGCGCGTCTGGCGTACAAAATTTTAATCCTGATATCTATGATGAGTTTATACCCCGTTAACTTTATGTTATCAATGAACAAAATATTTGCTATAAAGTAAACAATTTTTCCTAGACTGTTCATTTGCAATATTCTTTTGCAAGAAAATAAATGAGATATTCACAATCGATTGGTTGTTGTTATTTGGTTAACGATAACATTTTCAGACAACCTCTCTAGTATGGGTTTAACAGCCAAAAGATAATGTAACGGTGACCATCTTTGTGTAGCTGGGTTATAAATGACATTGAATACAAAACTGAGTTGATAAATTCAAATGTTTGGAAAAAATCCTACCTTGCTGTAAGGCTGCAGTTTCTGATTTATCTTTATCCTTTTGCACTTTCCCTAAAAAATCAAAATGCCTTTTACTTACACAACTTGTTTCTAACGGCATAATACCTCAAGCAATCAGAATTGTGTTGATAATTTAAATACCAGTAGCAACAATCACGACCTCTTTACCTCAATTGTGACATCACCAAAGGCTATTTAGTTATTTTAAATAAGTAACATGAAAGGAGTCACTAGCGGAACAGAAATTCATTTCCCTTTCGTAGCACCGGAGTTCATGCCGTGTTTTATTTTACAGGGGTGTGTGTTCTTGTTTCAGTTCTCAGTCTTGTTGCTTGTACTACATGTATTTTATTTTTGAATGTATTTTGGGCTCTGATGGTAAAACCAGAAGGGTAATGTAAGAATAAGGTGATGTGGTACGATTGAAAATGTGACTATTCATCAGACAATACAGGACGTGTAAGCAATTATATGTCACCGTACGGCCTTCGACGATGGGAAAATCAATATAACCGTACAAGTATCTATGAAAGTCCCAGAGGCATGACAAAATGTTTCAAAAATCAAACGGGGAAAACCAACGGCCGGTTTTATGATAAAATAATAAGCTTAAAGCAATATTGGCGGACAGAAAGATGCGAATACAACTATTCAAAGGATCCTGGTTTGAAACAGGCATATGGACAATACGACGTGGTAAATAATGTTTGTTAGTGCTCAAAACTCCCATAACGTGGGATAATGATGTGACACCACAATGTAAGAATAATATGAAAAAAATAGTTGGAACGGCACAAAGCACAAAAACTATCAAAAAGACAAGACACAAATTAATGATCTAGGATTACTCGCAATTACGAAAAGCTAGTCCAAAGCCAATTACAACTCATAAATGAAGCAGGTTTTTTCAGTCTTAAATATCAATCCTTATCCTTTGGCGATATTCTGAGAGATTTTGCATGTTCCAAAGGTTTTTGAATTTGGTGATGTCTAAGAGTTAGACAAAAGGCATGTATCAGTCTCGGTATCAGTCCGCTTTTGTAGAATGCCAAACCTTTGGATATGACTCCTCCGTGAATATTAACCCTTCCGGAGCATATGAGTTCACTACGTTAATTTAATGGAGTTTGCCTTGTTCAATCTTTGTTTGGTGTGGTATTTTGTGGACTGTTATTGTCATTTCGTTGTTTGTTTGTGATGTTGTTTGATTTTAATTTGATTTTTGTATAACCACTTAGTATCTTCTTTATCTTTTGTGTTGTTGTAATAAGTTGTTGGTGTGTATTTATACACTAATTAATATAAAATATTTACTATAATCGTGTATGGTAATAAAAATACTTATGTCAAACTATGAGTATTGTAACTATGACATACACTATATCAGTCAGATCCCTGTTGTGACTATCACAGTAGATAACTACACAAAAAACAAATGTATGTGAATAATATAAGGTCTTACCACTGGCTAAAACGGACAGAACCACAATTGCGATTATACAAACAACAGATAACAGTCCTAGTGCTAGAGTCAAAGTCTTCCATTTTCTTTTTTCTTTCAAAAGTGACCGTGTTCCAATGTCATCTTCCTCATTAACTAGTCTGCTCATCTGAATATCATCACTGCCTTTATACACAGTGTTGTAGGAATCCATCTTGTCCCATTGAATTCTTATAATTGAGACATACTGACCAGAGCATTAGTTAATGAGTACTTATATCAAGTACTTGCGTCAACTAGTATGTACATCCGATGCTCAAGTGTCTCGTATAAGGTACTAGATATAAACATCTTGATTTTGTATCTTCACAAGAACCAATTCAATTGTCATGGTTTGAGTTTGTGTAACATGGGTTATTGTCCTACAGCCCAGAGTGATTTAGTTAAAAATCATGGTTGACTTCATGTAGCATAAGTTATTGCCCTACAGTACACAGAAAGTGATTCAGTTCAAAATCATGGTTGAATTCACGTAACAGAAGTTATTGTCCTACAATACACAGAAAGTGATTCAGATAAAAATCATGGTTGACTTCGTGTAACATAAATTATTGTCCTACAGTATACAGAAATTGATTCAGTTAAAAATCATGGTTGTGTCCCTGTAACATAAGTAATGGTCCTACTGTACACAGAAAGTGATTCAGTTAAAAACTATGGTTTTATCTATGTAAGATAAGTACTTGTCCTACAGTTCACAGAAAGTGATTCGGTTAAAAATCATAGTTGTGTTCATGTAACATAAATAATTGTCCTACAGTTCACAGAAAGTGATTCAGTTAAAAATCATGGTTTTGTTCATGTAACATAAGTAATTGCCCTACAGTTCACAGAAAGTGATCCAGTTAAAAGTTATGATATTATTCATGTAAGATAAGTAATGGTCCTACAGTACACAGAAAGTGATTCGGTTACAAATCATGGTTGTGTTCATGTAACATAAGCAATTGCCCTACCTACAGTTCACAGAAATTTAATCGGTTAAAATTCATGGTTGTGTGCGTGTAACATAAGTAACTGTCCTACTATACACAGAAAGTGATTCAGTATAAATCATGGTTTTGTTCATGTAACATAAGTAATTGTCATACAGTACACAGAAAGTGATCCAGTTAGAAATCATGGTTTTGTTCATGTAACATAAGTTATTGTCCTACAGTAAAAATAGTTAAAATAACTTATTGTGGTGATTATCACAGTGATTGCTACTGAATGTGAATGTTTCACTCTGAAATATTTCTCTGTGTATTCAGTGATATATTATGACAGGGATCTGCATTAAAGTGGTATCACAATAAATCACTGTGTTTCACTATAATCCACTCTTTTCATGGAAAAGAGGGATAAAACGAGATATGTTAAGACCTATAAAAGACATTAACCATTTAGAGTTCAATGTACAGTCTTCAACAATAGAATGTGTATATACTAGGTATGGCAGATGATCTCAAATTACTTAATCGGCTAATGTTAAGTTATGCCGCCCTACACTCGTGTATCAATGAGTGTACAGTAAAGTCATAAACAGAAGAAAAAAAATCTTGTACAAAGCACAGAACAAACTGTACAACATTTTTATGAAAAATACACAAAAGGAAAATTTACATTTAAGTCTTAACTTTAACTATAGATAAGCAATTGGGCTTGACCTCGATGAAGAGCGAAGTACTTAAACAGTTAATGGAGAAAATGTATGTTGAATAGATCCAGAAATGTTATCCTTAAAAAGATCGCCTTTGAACACCTCAAAGAGTTACGGTGATTTTTAATACGAACGTAGATATGTGGCTTTGTTTATACATCCCATATGACAGAAAACTTACAAACTCATAAAATGTACAGACTAAGTCTTAGATACATGATTTTTTTATTGGTTGTTATTGGCTTTGAACTATCTGTCATTAACTGCGAATACTCTAAGATCTGTACTTAAGTGTCTTTTTTGTTGTGGGTCTGTGTTTTTGTCAGATGTCTTTCTGTTTTGTATCGATCTGATGAGTTAAGCCTTTTTCAACTAGTTTTTTCTTATGTTGTACTGTTATACCATTGTCCCAGGTTAGGGGGCGGGTTTGGCGCGCCAGCAAACATGTTAACTACGCCACATCCTGTATGTGACTGTCCTAAGTCAGGAGCCTGTAATTCAGTGGTTGTTTTTTGTTGCTGTATCAAATCTGGGTTTTTTTTCATTGTTTTGTACATAAATCAGGCCGTTAGTATCTCGTTTGAATTGTTTTACATTTGGGTCTTTTAAAGCTGACTATGCGGTATGGGTTTTGCTCATTGTTGAAGGCCGTACAGTGACCTATGGTTGTTAACTTCTATGCTCCACATGTGGCACCCGTCGTGTTGCTCATGTTAGTACAAACCCGGTAATAAGTCTAATTCGGTAGGTCACATTCGGGAAAAACGGGACGGCTTGTAGTTACGACATTTGGAACATAAACGCTATCATCTGGCTAAATCATTTGATTTGATCTGTTTAGTCAAAACAGCTACTCGCTTAATTAGTCAGGAAACTAGCTAAGGTCTCATCTCTTCTTGGTTGAATACTGCCACTGAAGGGAAAATCGGAACAACGCTTCTTAACATGTGTCACGACGAGTACCACATGTGGAGCAGGATGTGTTTACTCTTCCGGAGCAACTGAGATCACCCCCTGGTTTTTGGTGGGGTTCGTGTTGCTCAGTCTTGAGTTTTCTATTTTGTGTTTTGTGTACTGCTGTTTTTTTGTTGTTTTTTTTTTTTTTTTTTTATCTATTTCGTTTTTTGTCATGGCGTTGTCTGTTTATTTTTAGACTTATGAGTTTGAATGTCTCTTTGGTATCTTTCGCCCTTCTTTCGTGAAGTCTCTTTAGAAATTTAATTGAAGTAGGCTGTATCTGAAAAAGGCCAGTAAGTATTTAAAATCGATAGACCATTGGAGAATAGACCATTTAGCTGAATACGATAGTATAGTTTCAACATGCTATTTCATAAGGTAACTGGCCGTTTTTGTCGTTTTTTTTTTTCTTGTGAAATGGCGATGTCAGTTTTCTTCGACTTATGAGTTGAATATCCCTTTAGTATCTCCCGTCTCAAGCTTTTTTATCACATTTATTTTTGTTACACTATATCCCTTTAATATTTGAATATTTCACAACAAATACATTTTTCTCATTACAATGGGAAGCCAATTAGAAATATTTCAAAATAACCACTCAAGGTCAAGAATCGTCTTAAGTACCTGTAAAGACACTTAAAATGATAAGTGTTGTGTTTAACTGTTAAAATATGTCAATGTTACGATCTTCATTTTGGAATTTGAACTGTGCAAGATTGCGAATTTGTTATCATTGTGATCTTTATTACAATAAATGAGAGGCGAAAGATACCAAAGGGACAATCAAACTCATAAGTCGAAAATAAACTGACAACGCCACGGCTAAAAAAGAAAAGACCAAAAGACAAACAATAGTACACAAAATACAACATAGAAAACTAAAGACTGAGCAACAAGAACCACACCAAAAACTGGGGGTGATCTCAGGTGCTCCGGAAGGGAAAGCAGATCCTGTTCCACATGTGGCACCCGTCGTGCATGTTGATCATGTTAGTACAAACCTGGTAATACGTCTAATTCTGAAGGTCACATTTGGAACATATCCGCTATCATCTGTGAAACGGATATTTCATAACGGTCAACCAACTCGTGATGGCGTCGGTAAAATTTACGAAGGGATGATTTCAACTTCACCACTTGGAAATCTTGGTGTAATAGATTTCTTGTGAGCAGCAACTCTCTGTCAAGAAAACCATGATAGGAAATGCAAGCCCTGGAATATCGTATCAACTTGGAGATATATACTCCATATGCAGGCGCTGCTTGAATGTTGCAAACATAGAAAAGGAAAATTCACAATTAGGAAGCTGAAATCATCTCTTTTGTTTCATAAGGTTACATGAATCAATCAAAACCCATAAACCGAAGAAAGACAACAAAACACGGATTCAAGATAACAAATTGATAATAGAATAACAGCCAAACAGATTCTAAAACAAAACAATACAGAAAAGTTAAGTTTGAAAAAATCAAACCACTGTGTGAGCTCAGGTGAACGGAAGGTCAAGAAGTTCCTTCTCCAGTTGTGTCATCCACTGTGTTGCTCATTTCAAGTACAAATAAAATCTCGTTCGGTTATTTCATCTTTTAGGAAGAGAAGATTGTTTTCGCAACAAGTACAACATATACGGGATGATCTGTGACAAACATATTCTATAACGATGAGCCAAATTATAAAAGAGGCGAAGGATACCGATACCAAAGGGACAATCAATTTCGCAAGTCGAAAATAAACTGACAACGCCATGACTAAAAAGAAAACAAAATCAAACAACAGTACACAAATACAACATAGAAAATCAAAGAATGAGCAACACGAACCCCACCAAAACCTTTAGCTCATCGCAGGTGCTCAGGAAGGGTAAGAAGATTCTACTCCACATTTGAAACCCGTCGTGTTCCTCTTTGATAAGGTAACTTTAATATTTATAAATAAAGTCGATTTGAGATATTTGAACAGTATACTACTGTCGTCTAAATATGGGTTTTCGTCGATTTAGATTAAATAAAAAAAAACTGAATTGTAGAAAGAGAGACAGGGTACCAAATGAGCAATACAAAATAATAAGGTGAGACGGCCGAATATAACATGAAGGAAAACGTAATTGTAGAAAGTGAGACGGGATACCAAATGGGCAATACAAAATGATAAGGTGAGTCGGCCGAATATAACATGAAGGAAAACGTGATTGTAGAAAGGGAGACAGGATACCAAATGGACAATACAAAATGATAAGGTGAGACGGCCGAATATAACATGAATTAATGAACACGTATTTGTAGAAAGGGAGACAGGATACCAAATGGACAATACAAAATGATAAGGTGTGACGGCCGAATATAACATGAATTAATGAACACGTATTTGTAGAAAGGGAGACAGGATACCAAATGGACAATACAAAATGATAAGGTGTGACGGCCGAATATAACATGAATTAAGGAACACGTATTTGTAGAAAGAGAGACAGAATACCAAACGGGCAATACAAAATGATAAGGTGTGACGGCCGAATATAACATGAATTAAGGAACACGTATTTGTAGAAAGAGAGACAGGATACCAAACGGGCAATACAAAATGATAAAGGTTTGACGGCCGAATATAACATGAAGGAAAACGAAATTGTAGAAAGAGAGACAGGATACCAAATGGACAATACAAAATGATAAGGTGTGACGGCCGAATATAACATGAATTAAGGAACACGTAATTGTAAAAAGAGAGACAGGATACCAAATGGACAATACAAAATGATAAGGTGTGACGGCCGAATATAACATGAATTAAGGAACACGTATTTGTAGAAAGAGAGACAGGATACCAAACGGGCAATACAAAATGATAAAGGTGTGACGGCCGAATATAACATGAATTAAGGAACACGTAA